CATACCTATATCTAAACAATTTCATGAACGGTGGGCAAAAATCTATGCCCCTCAATGGGCTTGCGATTTTGATCCAAACGGTAATTTCGAATTGTTGAAAGGCCATTTCCGCCAAACCTTAAGTCTAGCCTATGGCTCCACTCAAAATAAAAACATACAAATGCATATTTGTGGTATCAAATATGTACGAAATTTTATTTGTTTTATTTGATGAATATATAATCTGTATATACAAAACAATTGTATCCTATTTTTAAGTAGGTTCGCATAGCTATAGATATAAAATAATACGGAGAATATTTCACATTTCCTAATGGATTTCATTTTAATTTTTGACTTCTTATTTCAATTGTAAACGGTTGTAAACGGTGTAACGTATTGCGTTTAATAATTTAATGTACTTGATTTTGATGTAATGGCATACTTGCTTCATTATAATTTGAACTTTTTAAGTCCTCGTCAATCTTGGATTCTTTGTTAAATACTTATCGTAAACATTAAAAAGTATTTCTAATGAATGCAATTAAATCAAACGTTGGCAACAAATCAAACTTAATTAAAAATAATCGCACTTAGTGTAAATATTTTTCAAATACTTATGCCCATTTATCAAAAACGACGCCATTGAACTGTGCTCACATTGCCAATTAAATACAAAAACAAACTTTACTAAGAAATATAATTGAAGAGCAACATTCGACGTTTTCCTATGTAATTGGCGCAACTGCATACGCATATTGAATATTTTTCATCTACTGTAGAATAGTGTACTATGTGTATTTATGTTCTTAGGAATACACCCATATAGTACATAAAAAATATGGTTTAGGTTTTATTTCAATTATATTATTAAAAAATGGGAATATTATTTTATGTTTCACATGTTATTTTGTAAGTGGGTATACGCAAGCGTGTATTATAAAAAGTGGAATTATTTTTTGAAAGCAGGGGCGTGGCTTCTTAATGCTATACGGTCTAAGGTTATAGCAAGCTAACGTTTCAACTTGCTCTGGTCATATTACACCACATACAAAAGATCTGCATTACTCAGTAATATCGATCGGAATGGAAGTAGTAAACGTAGGAGTTTCAAGCTCCTCATGCTTTTTCATTTTTAGCATCTGAAATAAAAAAAAAAAATGTGTAAAAAAAAATTATATTTACGTAAATAAAATATGGCAGCACTCACCTGCTGCAATTTATAGTGATTGATGATGTCCTGATCTGCAGGGCACGATTGTGTGAAGGCATCCAATTGGTACATGTGATACATGTAACGCCATAATGCAGTGAAATGTGTCTGTAAAGCAAACAATTATAGCTATCCTGCTTTAAATTGAATATATATGCAGTGGTGGCCACATAATTACTTCTATTATTTCTTTACAAGTGTTACAGCCAATTGCACGAAAGCAATTTAAGTGAAAAATGTTAGAACATACATATGTATATGTTTTCTTTATTTATTTTTCATTTATTGTTTTACAAAAATATAGCCTGAAAATTTTCGAAGCTTTAAAGCAGACAAAATTCAAAAAATGAATGATGGCCGACGAATCGAGCGAACGGTTTTACTTTGTAACATTTGTCTCATGGTTTACATCCAACGAAAATCAAGTAACTCAAAGTTTAAAAGTTGATGAAAAATCACTTACTTAAAACTATTTAACATCGGAAGGCCTGCCGAGTTTTTCTACTTTATTTAAATCAACAACAAAATATAACCAAATTTCACAACATGGTCATCAAAATCTTTTTATTTAGAATTTCTAGAAAAATTTCGGGTATGCAGTTTTATAGCCCACTCAAGTTTTAAGCGTTAATTTTTGATTTTATTTTTTTGTTGACGTTGTTGCTCATTTTCTCTCATAAAAAAAATTACTTTGTATGGAAGAAAATGCATAACACATAATAAAAAAAGAAAAGCTTTGTAATTTTGAGTCGCATGGTCTTCGTTGCAGTATAAAGTATACTTTTCTAAAAAATTTATTAATAATAAATAAAGAAAAAATAAGTAGTCAAAACTTATAAAGAAAGAAGTGTCCATAATTATGTGCCTACCGCCGCATATTAATTTTTTTCTTTCAATTTTGTTATTTACCGGTATTTCAAAGTCCACAAA